ATTAATTATTTATTTACTGAGTATTTCGTATGGTTAAAAAATCCTCTAAATCAAAGTGAATAAAATTGAGTCGTTGACACCGTACTCAAGGTAAATTTCGACTGCCACGCGTTTCCACACGGAACACCGATCCACGAACGTTTTATCTCAAACTATGTTATGTTGTAAATTAACATCGTTTGTGTTGGTAAACGATTACCAACACAAACGATGTTAATTTACAACATAACATAACGAATAACAACGTATACCAACAGCGAAATGTCCTATGAATTTTTTCTTCCCGTTCTTTCCCGTGAACGCGTAATAAAACCTATCCTACATTGACTACTAGCGCGGAAACAATCAGACTCGTGAGACTTGAAAACGATCAGCGTTAAATCATTCGCGGCGCACTTTACCCACACGGCGCATAACGAGGAGCCCATCGTATTCACGGACTTGAAGAGGTTCCCTTCTACCGAGAGAAGGTCGTGCATCTTCTCATCATATATTTCGAGCATGGACACAAACACCTTAAAACACGATTCGAGACCAGATTCTACGATTTGTTGGAATATTGCCTCAACCAGGCGAGGGATGATGCCTCTAGTCGCACTCTTCTTACTGGCTGTGGTTTCCTCCGCGCCCATAGTGTACGTTTTACTGCTCCCAGTTTGTCTATAAGCCAATATAATGCAATTGCATCTTTTGAAAAAGCTGCTCAACGAGAAAGGAAGCACTTGAATGAAGGGGAAGTTACATGAAACCTGATTCGACTCAACAAAAATCTGCAAGCACTCTCTATCACCGAATGGTCTGGCACGAACAAAAACCTTTTCTGGGATATCGTCTCCCATTCCGCGAGAAGTGTTGATACTCGAGTTCGAATAGCATGAAGATGAAATAATTTGCCCCTCAAAACAAATGAATTGGTGCTATACAAGTAGGGTGGGCACGCCGCAGAAATGTATGTCAGTGGGACTGCTGCTCGCTACTATACTGTCACGAGAATCGGGGAATTCGTGAGCCAGGGGGAGTGTAGCCAATCTAGGGGGTGGGGGGTGAGGGCAGTCACTTGACATGCGTGAAAAGCTGGGCGTGCCCACCCCACTTGTATAGCACCAATTAATTAAACGAGAAATAATGGGCTCTTGTTTGATTTAGGGCTTGGGGTGTCGAGTCCCGCGCAAATACGATTTCCATACAGGACCATCCCTGGCACGACACCCCAAGCCCTTTAAATGGCGCACTTGTCCTCTTTCGGTTGCATGGGTCGCAACCGCCCCAGGAGCTCGCGAAACTGCGATACAAAGCATAGGTGATCTTCTATGATCCACTATTTTTGTAGCTACGTCAAGGTCTCTTCCATGGAATAAATACAAGAAACTTCTAAAAGAATCAGGCGTGCGCGAAAAAAATGAGTGTAATGGGTGCGGGGGATATATATCCCGCACGGTCCGACATGGCCTGCAATGCGCGGGATATATATCCCCCGCGTTGTCGTCAATGTGTTAATCACTTGTATCTCTGCACAAAATGGCTGATTTTGAGAAGTTTTTCAATTCTTCGATTTCGCGTATAATCGTGCATTTATTTTTATTACTTTAATCAGAATAAAACGTTATTCACCCGAGTCTGAGTTCTCTCAAACGACAAAAAACATCAGATCAGTCATCAACATCAACATCATTTTTGCGATGGAATTTTGTAATTTTCGCACCGGTACATCGTAAACAGCCTTATTCTTAAAATTCTAGTTCTTTCGAGCTCGCTGGGCATCAAGTGAATTTGACAACGTGGCGACTTTTCGCTTACGCACCTCAATCAAGAAATTACGTAGAAAATGCTACGGATTTAGTGTTTTGCCAAAATTTGTACGCGCACTATGAGGAACAGAATTTTGAAACTTACTAATGAGGGATTGGCAGAAGCAGAAGAATTAATGTATGAGGTGATGCGACGTGGGGTGATAGGGGCTTCTTCCTTTCCATTTAACTCATCTTGTTCCAGTCCACCTTCCGTTAACGTTGAAATACGCATTCGCGGTTCAACGGTAAACAGCTAAACAATTCATAACTATACTTCGAAATACAATGAGTCTAGCTGATAAGAAATGACGAGTTTTGATGACACAGTCATTTGGTGGCCAAATATTTTGATGAACTCAACTCGCATCCGCACGTTGTCCCGTGGATAACACGAGATTGGGTGGTGTTGAAGTTCAACAGCGTACGATCCACGACGCGCACGGTCCGGGGATCAAATCATGGATACGCCTCTGACATACGCTTTTGACACTTCGACATCTTCCATCCCACATCAAAAGTGGATCGCACACTTCTGGCCTAAGGACTTTGGGACCGTAAAATAGGAAGAGGTCAGTAACGAAAGGGGGAAGGAGTCAGATGTTATGGTGGGCTGATCTGAACTCCAAATGCTTGCGACGGACTGTTGAGGGAGAGAAAATCAAATAATTACGCCAAGCGGGGTGTACACCGAGGTGAGCGCGGTGAGGCTAAAAAAAAGTCAGGTTTGTCCACGTTAAACCCCTCTCGTTTCTAAACTCTTCCCCAGCAGTCCTAAGAACGGAAATGCTCTTTGACAAATGGTCCCCTACGACACGCATGGTCCGGGATAAAATCCTGATCGTGCACCGACAAGGCCGGGTGGAGGGATTTAGCTTGGAGCTGAGTACGGTAGCGTAATTAGCGGATTACGGTAGGTCACTTCGCACCTCCCCAAACTTGCCTGTGGGATGACCCAACTTAATTGGTTACGCTGAATCGTGCATTTCTGGGCAGCTCAAAACAAGCAGAACGAAGAAATATTGGAAGAAAGAAACGTTGGATAGAACCAAATGTATTTATTGAGAAGGGCGCTGTTCAATTTACATGGGATATACTTTAGAATTGTTCTGTCCCGAAGTCTCATGTTGATCTAAATGTGTATTAAACAATGTGAGACTTCAAAATTTATTGCAAAAGACTCAAAACTTTCTACAAAAGAAATTGCAAAAATGTGTGTTTGCAAAAGTTTTGCAAAAGTTTAGGCCTTTTTGGCGAGCTTTCGGCGCTTAGCGTCTTAGTCGAGCCTTAAATGAAAATAGAAAGCTTTCTTAAAGTCTGTTAATATATTAAAATATATTAACTGACCCACCTGCTGTCCACTTCTCAAAAGTG